GGGGGGATTTCTTCCTCTACAAACAAAGATATTTGTTTTATTAAGGGTCAGATATTTAAAGCAGTCAAATTAAAAGCTCAGTTTTCTGTCTGGCCGTGGCCAAAGTCAACAGAGCTGCTTATAGATCCTCTATACCACAACTCTCTGTGAGCTCTTACTAAAAGACAGAGGAGGGATGGATGAATGAGAGAGGGAGAAAGTGACTAAAAGAGAAGCAGAGAGAATGAAAAGAATCAGAAAAGTTTCAACTAAAGGAGCAAAAAGAGGCGGCTAATATCTCATGGCACCAGAGAAAGAAAGCATGCTCTCTCATGTGCCGTAAATCCTGGCATCCTTAATCTCTGGGTCGCAACCAAAAGAACAGGTCATGCGCGTATGTCTGATGATTACCAGATTACTGCAGCAGAGTGTGCGCTCAGCAGAGCCGCTTCCAAAGCAGATCAGTCAGATTTAGTTTCAGAGTTGGAAAAGTTTAAGAAGATCGGCTGTCAGGAGCGTCATGGCTCCTCAAAGCTCGGAGGCTCCAGCCCCCCTTTCATGATATCTGAGATCTAACGTCGCTCAGATGGAAAATGAACATTAGATGTCACGTCTCATCGGCAGAATGCGTGCACGATGACAGTATATATCGTGGTTCAAACAGACCTCTGTGTTTTCTCATTTCCATAAGGAAACTGGATTTCAAAAATCTGTCAGGTCACTATAATCTGGTTTTTGTGTCTGCTTTTTCTATCGGTGACGTGCTTTTACATGAATTCTGCTCCTTCTTTAAACTGCGATTGTACCTCTGCCATTAATTCTCATTAGAATTATTCCACTTCTTCTCCAAAAAGCAGTCAGTTTTGGTTAAAATCCTGCTCTGAAAATGTTGCAGTTTACCTCAACTTCCATAAATCCTTCCTGGCTGCTTTGGATCCAGAGAAACTAACTGACATGGCTTTGTGCCAGGCGACTTTGTGGCATTTTTGGGGGTTTGTGAAACACACATTTATGGCCCTATAATGACACCGTAACCAGAAACAAGATGTCAAAATAGCTTAGTAAATCATTATTGTTTTTCTTGTTCTGCTAATTTCAGCCACAGACTGATGTAAGCTGCTGTTCAACTCCAGAATCTGAGCGCTGCACATATTTGTTGCCCAGACCATCATCCAGATGTGTCTGTGCTTTTAAAGATGGCACTGGTGTACTTTTAAGTCTATCATTAGTTGCAAGTTAGTATTTGAACTTTCGGATATCAGACAGACTTTCAAAAAGCTGCTGTGAAAAGCCTGATTCACCCAACATCTCGCTGACAGTAGAAGGACATTATTTACTGTAGCTGGTGACCATAGCGGACCATTTAGCAGCTAAAGATGCAGACACAGATGCTTCCCACATTATAGAGAGCCTATCAGACTTGGCATCTGAGGCCAACAGTCAACATTTAGGTAGTTAGGGCATCAGGGTTAAGGCTATCTATTCTTTTTTTATACTTGTTAACCTTTATTTAACAGGACAGTGGAGAGATACTAGGAAAGCCAGGATGAGGGGTAAGACGCACAGTTACTGGCCTCAGGGCAGATTCGAACCGAGGCCTATATGGGTTACCTTCTCAACCCAGTGAGCTAAATCAGTGTCCATGACTTCCTATTCTGTCAGTTAATGTTTGCTAGTCCTCCATATATGATTCCCAATTGTCTTTGGTGTTACATATAGCATGGACTGTTTACTAGCAGCCACAGCTTGCTCAAACAGTCAGTAGCAAATCCAAGAAAGTTTGTTATTTTCAAAACTTGTGTCGCTTTTTGAGGCTTCTGAGGTTCTTTTAAATTGGGGAGAATTTGAGTACAAATTGTTTTCTGCATATCAGATTGACTTTTCAGATAAATGGGCTAGTCGGCGGTATGAGTTTAGAACAGCATATGAAAAAAAGCTTTTAGAAACTGGACATGCTGTAGATTGAGTCAGCCCTGTGTAATATCAATCAATGATAGCAAAGAAGACATTAATTTATGTGCAAATGCCACCGATTTTTACTTGAGGTTTGCTGTTCTGCCTTGAAACTGCAGTGGAGTAAATGACAAATACATTCAAACAGTTGTGCCTAAGAAGCCAACATAGTTTTTCCACTTTCTTCACACTGACCAGTTTATTTTAGAGGTATGGAATGAGGTCAAAGAAAATTTGAGTTTTTGGCAGAATGGCTTGCTGCTTCAGAAAATTCTCCAGTAGACAACCAATCTTTGGGTAGGAAAAGTTTTTGATTTGGGTGCTTTGAAGTCAACGTTGCCGGATTGGTTGAAATGGACCATACGTTTTTGGCATAAAATTAGAGGACACTGCACGGCTTCCCGGGTATGCTGCACACTACCAAAGTGAGCCAACATATCCAACCAAGCAGCAACATCTATAGCTGAAAACTAAGCTTAATTAGTGTGAACGTTCTCAGTTATCCAGGTCATCATCTGGACGGCTAAGTTATCAGCTACTCCGAAAACAAACTGCTTTCATGAACTGTGCTGGTTCATCAAACACACACGCACACACACACAAATAATTACTACAAAGTAGGAACGCACAACATGTTTTACAGATCAAAACTGAAGCACAAACTTCTTTTTAAATGCAGTTATCTGACAAAAGATGTACTAGTTGTACAGTTAGTCTAAGAAATGTGCATTACAGTTTTGATAAGTAAAGTTTTAGTTACTTACATTTGTGTTTATCAGGACTAATTAGCATGTATTTGGTGCAATAAGTGCTTGCCAACCGAGCTTGTTAGTGTTAGCAGATCCTTTAGACCTCCACCCTTGTGTCCAAATATGCTCACTTCTGGCTCTAAAAGTAGCAGGTGGTGGTAGTGGCCAATATGCTAACATTTAGGCAAACCAACCAATGATGTCATGGTGGCAAAGTCCATCTTTTATTCACAGTCTACGGTTCCACAGAGTAACCTCCACAGATGATTCACCGGGTGAATTGCAGCTTTTTGGGAGGCTCCTGATGTTGTCGATTATGTAAGGTCACAATTCATGCTGTTGGAACTTTGGCATGCTGGAACTTATCACAGATTATAATTCATCTAAAAAACACTTTTCTTTTCTTGTTAGAGAGCAGCTCCCTCGTGATAAATGTGTATGTTTTTGACATTACAAGGCAACAAAAAGCTCCTAAACGCTCTGTCAGATTTGGCTCTTTATGTGTGTGAACTTTAAAGGAGGCCTCTTCCAGCCCCACCTGTGACCTCTGACTCTGTTGTGGATGGGGTTTCCCCACAAAAAAGCTTTTATGAAGCAGCTTGGTGCTCTTATGAACTCTTATGTAAATGCAGTCGCTCTGCTCGTAGAGTTCTTGGCAGTGCCAGTCCGGTTTGGTTAGGCTGGCTTTCCCCACAGGGCATAATGATAGGCTGCAAACCACACCGACACCCTGACCAGACCACTACAGGCTCTGTGTATGTGTGCGTGTGTGTGTGTTCAATCTCCAGAGTGTATACTTAGTACACAGTCTGGAACACTCCACCGGCGGCCTTAATCTGTCTGAATCAGGAGTCGTGGACTTGAGTGAACACACACAAACACACACTTTCTGGCGCCCTGGTCATCAATGCTTGGCACCAGCAGCACACAGAGGGCACATAAACACACAGCAGACACTTCACGCCTCAGACACAGGGCACCGTGCATGTGTGTGTGTGTCATGTCCTAGTTAAACGCCACGTGCTGACCTTTTCCATGCCATGCTGCCACTTTGGAAAAATTAGGAATTCCATAGTCCCCCTACTTCTCCTGTGTGCATGTGTGTGTTTCTGTCTCAGAGTTTGTGGGAAGTAGGAGAAAGGGGATTCCACACAAACCCAGTGCCATAAGAGCACTTTTGTTCAACATTTATGCCTTTACATACACACACACACACACACACAAAGGAAAAAGTGGCGCATGCGTCACAACTGTGTTTCTGGAGTGTTCCTTAGAGGGTTGAAGGTTGCAGGGCGGGGATGAAATGTGTGTTTTTGTATGTGTGTGAAGATACACACTGTAGGTTGATCTGTCCCCACTGTATTCTCCATTTTTGTGGTCGCTGTTTCCTTGTTGTGTCAGGGCCAGCAGCTTGCCATCACACACACACACAGTGAGATGGACAGACTTTTCGCTTCTGTGAGAAAATAATCAAAAATGAGCTTTTAAGTAGCTCTGCGGTCGGCGTTGCCAATGTGAGCAGACTTTTAGTAAATTTGATGGATGAGGCAGCTTCACGCTTGAGAAAATGGAAGTCTTGATAAAACACATGAAACAGGGTTTCTTTCCGAGATGTCACATATTTCCCCAAAAATCACATCGTATAAATCAAAATGAATCCAAACCTCAAAAAGCCATCAGTCAAGATTTCAAAAACAAAGATATATATTTTACCCTCCAAAACAGAACGACATTGTGAGCGCAGGATGACTCATAGCTGTAATAGTAAGGCTTTAACAGCCTTTGATTTAATGCCAGCAGTCATTTTGTAATAGAGGGATTTATTTCTTCTTCTACTTTTTTTTTATATTATTGCGTATGTTTCATTTTGGATTGAAACCCATAATGTGCTATGAGAATAAGTATTAAGAAATGTGTTGAAAAGCTCCTTAAAGTGTGTTTAATCCCTCTACTTTAATGCGTGGTTACATTCTGTCAGCATTTGTGCGTCTGCACTGAGTGATCATGCAGTCTACGGTGAAATTTAATTTCTCTCTGACCTGTCTTTTGTTGTTAACGCTGACACTAGATGTTACAGTGGGTAAGTTTTGGAGCGCACCGACTTATAAAAAATGCCATTCCAAGGGTGTGAGATGGTGTGGTTTTGCCAAAACCACTGAAACCTTTCACACATTATGCACATTCCCCCAGCGTCAGATGCTGCTGTTCTTTTGGCATTTGTGCCATGATGCAACAGGTTATTGATGATTGTAAGGGCCTTTGGTGTCACATTTAAATTGATAGGCTTTTTTTTTTTTTTTTAAGCTGCAGAGTTAATTTTGTCAAACCAAAACATAATCTTTTCCCAAACCCAACCGAGTAGCTTTTGTAAGCCAAACTAACAGCAGAAATTAAAATTAGGTGAAACAAAGCACGAAATACAACACTGTGATTTATTACACCAGTGATTTATTGCACTTAAAAAACTTTTCATGTGGACCTTTTAAAAGGGAAACTATATGCCCAACTGCACCCAAAACCCTTGTGTATCATGATGGAGCTGCAGTATCTGACACCCATCTGGCGTGAAATTATATTGGCAGTGCAATATGTGTAAATGCATCTCATTTTGGTAACTTTTGCACTTGCATGCATTTGCCCCATCTGTTAACTCAGGGTGGAAAATTAATTTCCCCAGCAGGCTACATGAGAAACTGGGACTGTTGTGGAGGGCCACACCAATAAGCTTAAAAATGTATATTAAGCAAAAGTGAGATCAGCTTAATTTAGTTCAACAACTCCATTCTGCTTAGTATTAACTTTCTATCTTTATAAATTGGGACTATTGTGGAGGGCCGCATCAATAGGATGAGCTCAATATTACTCAGTATTAATTTTATTTCTTTATAAGCTTACTGTTGCGGTTCTTCACAACCATCCCAGTTTCTCACCCCGTAAGACCCAGGGACTGTTGTGGAGGACCACACCAATAAACTGAACTCAGTTTTGCTCAATATTCATTTGACCTCTGTGTTATTGGTGCAGCCCTACACAACAGTCAGGTGCAGATTGGCTCCAAAAAAGAAAGAAATACTTAGGAAACAATAAAATCAAAGCAATCAATGTTTTCCAGAGACTGACAAGTAATGCGTTTGGAGAAGACAAATTAAGAGACATTTTGCTTCTAACACTAAAAAACCTTTTTTAGATTATGAGTTTTTTTGTCAGTACTTTAAATGGTATTAAATTTAAGCAGGGGTATGTTACATTTAGGGTTGTGCACAAATTACAAACATGAATTCCTCTTAGTCTGACCTCTTTCATACTCCCTTAATCACATGAACTACACCAGCCAATCTCTCGGTAGATAACTTCAGTCCAGCCTCAGTGAGTTTGTGTTTTCGGGAAGGTAGTTAACATTTTCACCCCATCTGGCCTCATCTGATCAGCATAAAACACCCAAAAAAGACAATGAAAGCACCAAGTATTTTTCATTCCTGAAGAATATTACTAGGTTATAGAAAGAAGTGGTGAAAAAGAGCTTGGAGCAAGGTAGCAGAATAATTAACTTCTTTATGAATAAATATACATTTTTGGACTCTTTTGGCATAACTCGGTTCTTCTTATGTCCATGTTGATTTTTGTCCACTTTGTGCCAGTTCCCATCCCAGTGTTGGCCGTTTCCATTGCCTCAGAACGCCCATATACCATGACCTTAATGCCATGGAATCACCAGAGACAATTTTTACTTGTGTTGACGTAACTTGGCTAACTCGATGTTGCCATGCGATCATTGGAAAAATCATGAAAAGCGCTGCAGTGCTCTACAAAGTCAAATAGCATTCACTGCAGGACTTTGAACAGGTTTGAAAGGTCAAAGGTTCTTCAGAAGAAGTTCAGATATCAAAAATAAATGACGCAAAAATCACTTTCAGTAGCTACAGACAATTTGGTGGAATTGGAAATGACCTTTGAAGTATTTATTTATTTATTTTTAGTTTGACTCGTCAGGTAAATGAAGCAGCAAGAAAGTAACGCAAACATGAAGTCAAACCAACACAAATATTTTTTAAAATAATATTACGCAAGCCATAAGACTGCATGCAGAGCAATCATTTGGGTTTTACCAAACAACACAGGCTTATTTATATTCAGCACCTCCTATTCAACCTTCCAAACTCTGACATCTGATTGTGTGACCAACAGGGAGAAGAGATTATGGACTGGTGGAGTAAGTTCTACGCATCGACTGGAGAGGAAAACAAGTGTGCGACTTATCTAGAGGAAGGCTTTGACACTCTCAAGGTAAGGATGTGTGTTAAGTGCTTGTAGGAAATAAATGTGTTTTGTTTTTTCCTTAACTAAATGTATATATCTTTCAAATGAAGCCTGCAAATAATAAATATAATGTTACAACTAGATACAAGATTCTTATTAAGTTTGTCTAGTATGATGTGGGAATTCATATATTCGAACATGCAATTGGCTATATTCTTTAGGCAGCTGTTGCTCAAGTGGTAAGTTCATTTAAAGCATTAATTGTATCCATCTTTTACTGGTCCAGCCCTTTGCATCAGCCCTACTTTTTTCCATTTGATCCATGAGAAAATTAGCCACCTAACCCTTTATTAACCTCTTAGCACCCAGGGGTGGACAATTCGTTTTCCCAAGAGAAAATGGGACAGTTGTGGAGGGCTGCTTAATCAGTTAATAAATCTGAAATAACATTAGATTATTCTGACTCACATTTGACAAAATGTAAAGCTTCAAAGTTCCAGCTGTCTGGAGCATGAACCAACACCAATAATGTAACAGCTTGTAAGATAGCATTGGTTTAGTACTAAATTTAGTTTAAATGGGGAGGCTGATGGTGAGAGAAGTGCCTCTTCTTTATTCCTACAAGGCATATCTAAAGTTATTTTGAAGCAAATGTATGTAAATGAATTCGTTGAGCCATTGGTCAGCAGAACTCTACCAAATCTGATAAAACCTTTGCACAAGGTTATGGTTTCACTTATGACTCAGTGTGCCAGCATGTTCAGTGTCTTTGGCTCATCCCACCAGAGCACTAAGCAAATCATGTTATGGATACTGCTAAATTAGTACAATTATAAGTGCACTTACCTGAATAATTTTTGTATCCACCTGCTGTCACAGAGTTTAAACTTTTTTCTAACCTCTGCTTTGTCAATGCATCAGTGCAACAACACTCCTGTAGCTTTTGGGCAGCTGTGGCTCAGGTGGTAGGTTAATGTAAAGAGTTAATGTGAAGTGCAGGCCATTTATCATCTATGAAGTACTATGGAATACAACATTTTTCCATATGGGTAAGAGAGATGGTCCGAATACAGGACACTGCAGACTGAATATTAAGCAATAGGCAAGCCTTTAATGCAAACTATCAAAGAAAACTATCCTTCAAAGTTAAAACGTAAAACAATAAATAAGTAAATAACAGGAGATAATCAAAAGTCAAATACAAAATAGCCAAAAACAGTCAAAGGAAAAAAGAACCCAAGGAACATGACAAATTAAAAAATGTAATTGTTTCATTGTTTCTTTGGGGCTGCTTTCATGAATAAATAATTTTATGCGACATGTGCATCTTGTAAAACTGCACTACATACTATTACTATTTGAGGAAATATGTAAGTTCTTGTGATATCTTTGTATTTCTATAATAGTATGAAATTTATGAACACATTCCCCATTTTTCCCTGTTAAGGCATATGTTAACTCACATTCCACAAAGTTTACTTATTGTATATGGTGTGGTTTCCTGGCCTTCATAAATAAAAGATTAATAGACGCTAAAAGGTAATTGTCAGCTTTGAGCTGAAAGGTTTCCAGCTATTATTTTTATGATTTGTGTAGTTTCAGACCAAAAATAAAGATCATGTTCAATTACAAGAGTTTACCTATTTAATTTACATAGTATTTATTGTGTTTTTATTCTTTTTCATTAGTATTGTAAGTCACATAATAATTGGAAAAGTGTTGTACATTGTTTTGGGGTTTTGTATTTCTTCTGTTGACGCTTTTGTCATAAAAATAACCCTGACATGCATTGTGGGGGGGAAAAGACAGTTTTATTCAGTGGTAATCTGACAGTATCTTCCAAAATGCTTATTTAACATCTCCATCAATGTGCATTTACACTGTCACTAAATAAATAGACACTTTTTTCTTTTGTTTTATTTCTAGGGGAACAGTTTTTTGGCACTGGGAAAGTACCCCTTAATGAACCACCATTATACTTTAGACCCTTGATATTTACTTTGCAGTTTGTGTCTTGCAGACATAAACTGCGAAACTTAATGTAAATGCACAAAGTGGACCTTTCATCTTACAAAGCAACAAACGTATTAGATTGCCTTATTAGATCTTTTTAGAAACAATAAAACATAATTTAGTTGAAATCTGCCAAACGCTGATATTATTTATTATGCAACTAACAAATCATGATTTTATATCCAAATGTGAGCTGGTACACTAGACTTCTCTGAGAAGCTTAACATTCAAGATGCAAGTAAATAACTGCACTTGGGTGTTTTAATCAAAAAACATTGATGTGCATTATTAACAATATAATTTTGATGAAAGAGCATGTGTATATTGGTGGATTATTTACTATAGAAACTTTGTAAAAATGTATTTATTTTAATTATTAGTACTGTTTAGGGCAGCTCTGGCTAAACCTTATTCTGGGTGGTGGTTTAATAAATTTGTTAGCCACTGTATATCAGCTCAACACAGTGGAAGCAAAGGAATATACATTGAAGAAAAGAACATGTTGGAATTACGTAATTCAATATAGATGTTGGTTGCACACAGATGTTTTGCTTTGGGAGCAACTTGAACAATTGAGTTAAATTAACACTTAACTTTAAACCATAAAGCAATTGCGTTAAATACACCTAAGATGCTTTTATATATCCAAGAGATAGGACACTGGCTTTCAGAAATGTGCTCATAGTTAGTCCCAACAATTAATTGATGTGTAATTCATGTACCTTGGACTTGTATGGACAGAAATTGACTTTTACCATACCCTTATTTCTGAGAGTATAATAGGGTAAAGGTAACAGTAGCAGAAAGAATAAAAAACTGAGAAAGTAATAAGAAAACATGAAAAAGATGGAGACGCCTTTAGCCTTTGTTCCTTTTTCTTAAAACCCGTTCATTGCCCTACACCTCACCATTTAAATCATTTATCTGCCCTAATGCCAGTTCCCTCTGTCAGTCTGTCATTCCCCTCCTCCCCCTCTCTTCTCATGCTCCATCATCAAAAGTCTCGGCATCGTGACATTCTGTCCGTTTCCCTAACTTCTTCATCCATGACTCATCCATGTTGAATTTGCTTTGGGAACACCGCAGTGGGAGAGATTCAGGGAAAAGGCCGTGCTCTGATGTTGGCAACTCCGAAATGAGCCGTCGTCAATGTTTGTCTGTAGTCTGGTCCTTTAAGAGTCTGCCGCCATCCCAGGAGCAACCCTTGATCGCCCACGCTCTGTTCAACCCTTATCCCGTTTCTCTTGGCCCAAACGGCGACCTTTCCTTCCACCGGGATTCAAAGCACACGTCAGTCTCTTGTCTGATTCCCAAAACAAATGACTAATCATGTCAGAATGTTGCCTTTTTTATTGCTCTTTAATTAGAGCTCTAACCTCTGCCTTGAAAGCCCTTTCACATCATCACAGCAATAACAACAGGTTTTCTGCATGTGCCCTGACATACATGTTGTACAAAGTCAAAATCAAGGACTTAAAAGTAAAATATTAGTAATTAATAGGCTTTTAAATGTATTTATTAATATTATTAAATCACATAGCAACACAGTTGGTCATGAATCTAATGAAAAAACGTTTAAAAATAGGTTTTAACATCCAGAGATTTTCCATAAAAGCCATGCTATATATGCTGTAATGTCAAATAATATTTCTTGGCCTCTTTCTTTACATGAAGCCATTAAAGTAGAGCTCAAACTAAATGGCACAGTAGAGAACAATTACATCTTGCCCAATAGTCATTGACCCTTGAAAGACTCTTTCCATTTTTCTAGTGGTTGTATTTTTTTCAGTCGGGAGCCTATTAAATGGTTTCACCCTGGCCGATGGAAACACATCTAAGTCACCTCTAAGTTTTTGCGACATTTCAAAACTTTGCTCAAAATTCAGTTGACAGTTGGATGGAAACTAGTGAAATGACCAGTGAGCCACTGATTCCATCGTCACTTTGCCTCACTTTCACCCTTTCACCGACCAGCTCCGTGCCAACACCTCCTTTTGATTTACTCCTCCCCACCCCCCTCCGCTTTTCTCCCACTCTGTTTCCTTTATGTCTTTGACAAGTCCTTTACTCAGATCTGCTACTGTCACAGGGAAATTAGCTGCTGTTTCCAACCTTTTTCAACCTCTTTTTCTGATTTCCTCTGACCTTTCACTGTCTTTGGGTAGCAACTGTCAGCAGAGACAGTTTCCAGCCCTTGCTCTGACCTGAGGAAAATTTGCTTACTTTTCTTCTCAGCCTTGGCTTTGTGCTCCCGTCATTTTGTCACCTTTCTGTTTCTGTTTCCATCTCCTCCCGCTGCTGCAAAAACTTTTTGGTTACATCACCAATTTAGCACACTGCTGTGCCACTCATATGAAGGTGGACAAGAAAATGACATTCGAAAAGGGCTAAATATTTGAGAACAAGGGAAAAGACAGACTTTGCTAAAAAAAAAATAATAATAATATGGCATAAAATGGGAGAATAAAATTAATCGTCTGGAAGAGTAATGCAATCCACTAGAGAATAAGTAAATACCACAAAGATTTTCTTCATCAGAATGAATGAAAATGTTCACTGCATGTATTATTGTCTAAGGTCTATACCTTACAATATGAAGCGCCTTGAGCCAACTGTTGTTGTGATTTGGTACTATATAAATAACATGGAATTGAATTGAACTTAAGTGTGGCCAGTTCCCTGCTATCACTATAAAAAAGTCAAAATTAAGAAAGACCATTTTTTTCTTTTTTTAAACATATGTTTTTATCATCATATTGTACGAGACTCCTCAGACCAGACAATGTCCTTCCAATCTTCTAGTGTCCAGTTTTGACAATAGAAAGAAGCTTGTGTGAATTGTAGCTTCCGTTTCCTGTTCTTAGCTAACATAAGTGACACTCGGTATGGTCTTCTGCTACTGTAGCCAATCTTATTGTGCATTAAGAGATACTATTTTGCAAATCTTCATTTGCAAAATAGAAAAAACCCTGGTGATTATTTGTGTTACAGCTCAAAGCAGTCCAGCTGTTCTCCTCTGACCTCTGGTATCAGTGAGACATTTTTACCCCTAGAAGTGCCGCTCACTGCATATTTTCTCTTTTTCCTAACCACTCTCCATTTGGTCATCCTAGTAGATCAGCAGTTTCTGAAATACTCAGACCAGCCTGTCTGTCACCAATTGCCATGTGACATTCAAAATCATTTAAATCAGCTTCATTTTGATGATAAGTTTGAAGTACAGCTAAATGCATGGGTTTGCTGTCAGACAAAGCGTCCTTTGGCTTTGCCACTATGATGCTTCAGCTGCAACAGTGTTTGAATAAAATAAGTTTGAAAACACCACAAAGTTCACATAAAACTTACTTTATATTATCGGGCTAAATACATGGTTTAAACATGATGAAGACAAAGGCTGTGTTAGATAGACATGATAGCAATATGCTCTGTCAACACGCAATGATTAGCACAAAGATAATGCTATGCTTTGCTAGCAATGCTAATATCAAAGCTAATATTTCTCCATATACTATCTTACAACTGTAATAATCTGTGTGGAGTTGCATGTATTTTGTGTTTCCTACCGTTTTGTAAGATTTATTAGCTCCAGTTTTAGCAACGCAGACATCTTTGAACTTAAACTTAAAAAGGCAGGAGGCATGGCACAGTCAGGACAGTGTTAATGCTCTGGTTTGAAACATGCAAACAAATGACACTAAGGCTACGTGCACACTAATGCCTTTTGGTTTAAAAACGCATCGTTTTCTCTCCGTCTTTGTTTTCGCTCATGGAAAATGCAACGTTTTCAAAACGCTCTCAAAAACGGATACATTTGAAAATGGTGCTTTCGCGTCGCAGTGTGGACAGTGAAAACGCAGACTTTGTAAAACGATGATGCATGTTAGTCATATGATGCAGTCATGTGACCAATTAAACTAAGCTAGCGGGGGGCATTATACAGCAGTTGTTTTGTGTTTATACTTTATACTTTTGTGTTACTCGCAGCAACAACTCCACCTCATTGTTATTCCATTTAAAAAACTCGGTGCCTTTCCTCGACATTTTGCCGCAACGTTTCAAAGAGCCGGAAAGTAAATAAGGGGCAGACAGAAATGAGGCAGGTCGAATCTTCTTGCATTTCATGCATGCGTAGTACTGGAACGTAAGCATTTTCGTCCGTTTCAATGTGGACACACAACTCTGTGAAAACAACTGAAAACGCTAGTGTGGACGCGGAGCGTTTTCAGATGAAAACGCTGTTTTTTTTAAAAAAATCTATCCTGGCTAGTGTGGACGTAGCCTAAAGGGTTATCATTGCATTTAAATGTGACACCAAGTCCTAATCAAGCATCCAAACATGAGCAAGAGTCAGTTGAAGTTTTTTATGTGGTATTTCACTAAGTTCATGTTTGTCACATCTGATTTTTATGCAGGGCACATGATACATGGTTTATCTCATTGTGTTCAATGACCTTAAAGTTAATACAGGCTAGAAGAATGGCCTGTATTTGTAAAGCGCTTTACTAGTCCCTAAGGACCTCAAAGCGCTTTACACATCCAGTCATCCACACACTGGTGATGGCAAGCTACATTGTAGCCACAGCCACCCTGGGGCGCACTGACAGAGGCGAGGCTGCCGAACACTGGCGCCACCGGGCCCTCTGACCACCAAAGTGTCTTGCCCAAGGACACAACGACCAAGACAGTCCAAGCCGGGGCTCGAACCGGCAACCTTCCAATTACAAGGCAAACTCCCAACTCCAAACTCTTGAGCCACGATCGCCCTTTCTTAGAAGAAAGAGTATAATGCTAATGCTAGTGCATAGCTTGTAACACTCTAAAAGTTAGCGAGCAGTAACGTGATTATAGCAATTTAAAAAAAAAACTATTCATGATTTAAACAATTTGGTAAACCAAGTCATAAAACAGCTTTGACTGGTGACATTCTGGAACAAGAGCTGTGATTGCCACTGTGGTTTCTAGTGGGTGCTGTTGTCTTACATCAGCCTTTACCTCATCTCCTAATTTTTCCATTTTACCTTCTTTGTACTGTCCTTTTCAATCTGCACAGTGATGTTCTCTCAAACCTTGGGCTTACTCCACTGCTTCCACACTCTGACCACTCATTTCACATCTTTGCTTCTGCCCTGCAACAGACAGCAGAACTGGTTAGTTTTGCTTCTGTCACAAAGACACCGCTGTTACCACCCTTGTTATGACTTCGCCTGTCTCTTGGCGTCTCCTTTCCCACCGCCTTCCATCTCCCTTGGTATTGGGTGCATTTCCAAACTTGTCTTTCTCTGTTGAGAACAAGCCAGCTATTTCTTAGTCAGAACCAATGGCTTTTTTGAGTCTCTGCTTCATGGTAGATGTCAGTAAAAGTTCAAAGTGTTATTTTGAGCTTTTTTAAAAGAAAGAAAAATAAAATGCAAACTGTTAAATGGTGATTTTGAGAAGGTGACCTTTAACGTTTTGATCGAGAAAGGTTTGCTATTTTCTGTCTTTTTTTTCATGTAAGGTTAATTTAGCTAAACGTTATATCAAAAACGTAATTTTTAAGTACATTTTCTATAAGTGATATGATTTAATCATATCGTGGTTTAATCAGCAAGGTATCTGTTTAGTACCTGTGTGTATCCTATACGCCAGAGCCTTTTTCTCCACGCTCTGCCTTGCCCTTTTGGGTTTGGTGTTGAAGTACTGAAATGAATCGCTGTTTCCAGACCTTTCATTCATTTACATCACCCCCGTCGTCGGTATGTTTCCACAGTTTCTGCCCCCATTCCTGCTTTTCCAACTCTTTCACCTCTCTCCTTTCACAGCATTAACCGTACACCCTTCATTTCATCCAACACAACCCCCTTGTTTCTCCTCAATTCCTAACAATCCTCTTTCCTCCCCTTCCCAGTTTAATAACAAAGTAAATGGAAAGCATCTCATTGCTTTCACAACCTTTCTCCTCCCTCTTTCAATTCATTTTGAAAAAGTGCTTGCAAGACCACTGTCTTAGTTTCTGCATAACTTGAAAAAAACATTTGCAAGAAAGAAACAACAGCCTTTTGTATAACAACAATCTTCCAATAATGAGATTTGGGAGTGCACATGTTCCCCCGGCAACAGGTTGTTATCACAGGGTCACTGGCTGGTCTGTTGGACTGCGTAAGTGGAGACTTTAGCAAGCATTTCACCAGCAAATCCCATTAACATCCAACAGCCACTCGCAACTGGTTGGGGAATATGTGTTTTTCCCTCACAGATGGTTGCCAGATGGTCACAGATCAGTCTCTGTGCCTGTGTGACCAGAGCTCATTTCAGTCTGTCCTACTTTTTCATCATAATTGTTACAGATGCGAAATTTCAAACGCAAAAGTGACTAGTGTCACAACCTGTAGCTGGTGACAAATATGAGATTTCAATTGGCTGCCTCTTTCACATACTAGATTGTGACTTTCCAGAACTTGATAAGCTGAAGAAAGTCAATGAATTTGACTGAGTTAGTGAAGTAGAAAATCATCACTAATGAAAACAAATTAATCTAGTCGTGCTTTGGACCCATTGAATTCTCACACATGTATCTAATGTGAAAAAAAAAACTTGATAATGTCTTAAAAACTGAACATGAATTAGATGTAAGCGCCACTGTTATTCTTATATATTGATGGGCTCTTTAGCTTTGCATGATTCACAGCTTAAAATAAGCCTTGTGTATCTTTTACTGGACCTCAATTCATCCATGTTTGGTTTCTCCCCATTTTGACCAACTATTGTGATTGGCTGCCCCTCATAAAAGGCTTGAACATCAGGTGGTCTCCTCTGTGGACACTTTGCGAGGCAGTGGACTTCAGTGAAGTATAACAGGAATGATTACTCAGCCGTGGTGCCTCCAACTGCCTGTGTCCTTGTCTGCAACGGAGTATAATTGAGGCCTTGGGGATATCCCCTCTCTATGACATCATGCAGATCCAAGACTTGGAAAACCTCAGTCTGAAGGCTGAGCTTTTGGCTCACAGGGATTACTTTTACATACTCTGACCTCATTATTTGAAATTTTAAACATGTTGATTGCGACAGATCCAAAAAGCATTTTCTTTGTCATTCTCTGCATTTACATTCACAGCCCCTCTTCTTCTTTCTCTTTATCTAATCACCAATTTTCATTGGCTCTGATGTTTTCACGTTCACTACTCTAAATAGTAAGCATATGATATGTCCAAGCGTCTCTTCCTTTTATTCCTTTCTGAGTCTTCTGTAATTTAAAATATGTCCTTCATTCTGTCATCTCCACATCTTGTTGCGCTGTGGACTTTCATCCATCTCCACCCCTCTTTTACACTCTCTTAAATGTCCTTTTTTTTTTTTACTCCTACCTCCTTATTCTGCTTTTCCTCTTTCTCTTTTTTTTACCCCAAACGTATCTATTACTTTGTAATTTGTGAGTCAGCTATTAAAATATACCTGTTTTAGGGCTAAATAAAATCTATTATATCTATATTCCTATCCCGCTCTGCTCTTCCTCCTCAGGTGTATGACCGGGAGCTGGAGAAGATCGAGGATTTTAAAGGGCTCTCTGATTTCTGCCAAACATTCAAACTGTACAGAGGAAAGACTCAAGATGAAGGAGAAGATCCCTCAGTGGTGGGAGAGTTCAAGGTAAATGCAAAGTTTAAAAGTTGTTCGGTCGAGTCTCACTATTTGCCATTTTCTTCTAGTCGCCACATTGTTGCAGCCTGATGTGAAGTTACGTATCACGAACATATCACATGCTAAATTATGCCTAGAGCTTATCTCGATTCATTCATCTTTGTCGGTACTTATTAATTCAAAAGCTTCCTTTACACCACTTGACATCTACTTCTTTAACTCTCAATCCCTCCACCCCTCTCTCTTATGAACCAGGGCATGTTTAAGATCTACCCCCTGCCAGATGACCCCGGTGCCCCTGTTCCCACAAGGCAGTTCAGAAAGCTGCCTCCCAACGGCATCGAGGAGTGCTTGGTCCGAGTCTACATCATCCAGGCTCATGGACTCCAGCCCAAAGACCCCAATGGGAAGGTATAAGGGGAGAAAGGGAGAGAAATGTAGAAGAGGATGGTTAGAAAATGTAACCAGAATTAGGTACTCATGGTTAGGATACTCATTAAGGTCAAGGAAAAGATTTCTAGCAAGGAGGGTATAAGTGATACCAAGTAAATGGAAGATGACATGAGTTAACAGAAAGCTTGTTGTTTTCAGTGTGACCCGTATGTGAAGATCACGCTGGGGAAGAAGTCAGTCAACGACCATGAAAACTACATCCCCTGTACACTGGACCCAGTCTTTGGAAAGTACGTACGCCAATGCCTCTTTGGTCTGTCCCTCTTTCCCCCCTTTCTGTCTATCTGTGCCTAAAACCAAAAGTCTGGACTTCCCCGATCTTGCGGACTCGGAGGCGATCCACAGACTTTCAGAGTCTCTGGTCTAGAGGCAGGCTCCCTTAAACTTCACTCCTCTATCCTCTGTTATTCCATGTAAACCAGCACACCCTGGCACATATTTCATATCACTTGACATTTTCAGTGCCAAAAACCACAATGGTTCACGGGGAATTGAATACCTACCCATGGGTTTGTGTTCATTTATGAATTGTTTTATATCGAACGTCTTAATATCAATAAAATGTTAAAAAACAAAATACAGAACAGAAAATATACCATGAGAAACTATTTATTACACAATTTACACAAAAAGGGGTAGGATGAAGTGTACCCATGTTGCACTGTTGTCACGTATCATGTATAAAGGTCCCAATCTGTCCCCAAGTTAAAAGGATGTGGATTCAGCCTGTATCTAACTGTGCCACAAGTCTTTGTGTATGTGTAGAGGGATGAAGGTTGTATGTCCCGGCTGATTCCTAGTTTGGACAAAAATAATAATAGTTGAGGATGCAGTACAAAAACTAACCTTTAAATGTTATTCTTTAACTAAACTGAAGTTTAAATTTTGCATTTGTTTATATTCAGCACTCTGGGACTGATTATGCTCATTTCCACATCCTCATGTTTATTCTTGAGCTCTACTAGAGTCGCTTTGCAAACTGCAAATATTTGTTAATCTTATATTAGGACTTGTTCCTCTGTCTGTTTACCTCTAGCTGTTTTACTGCCTTTCCTTTTAAGGCCACCTCCTTGTTAAGCTAACTTTCCTGTGATTGGATGTCCTTTACAAACAGAAGGTTTGGGTGGGGCTATTGTGCTCACAGACAGAGCAGTTTCCCTCTAATGACTACATCCACTCTGACACCATACAGAGCCTAAGAGCAGACAAAAACTGCCTGAAACCTGAGCATTGTGATCACAGGGATTACTTATACATATACAGAATGTATTATTTGAACCTTTGCTCATTTGCCATGTTTAATATCAACTTCAACCATCATATACATAAGCATAATTAAAAGTTATTTGAAAAAAAAGTAATCAATTGGTGGTCGATAAAGCAAATAGACTTTTTTGGAGACTAATAAAACCAGCTGAGTATGAGCATCATCAGCAGGTGGCCTCTTTGCTTAGTTGGTAATCCAGCTCTGGTGATTGCTGCATAAATTTAGCATGAAGCAGTTATAGAGAACTTTTGTATAATTTTATTCAAGCTTCTCTATCTTTTTTACAGCTAATAAAATAAAATGACTTTAAAAGAAGCTGACAAAATGAAACTACAGAGGGTACAATAATAAAACATGGATTCTTAAAATAATTAAAAGAAAATCAATTGTAAAATGTTCATAAAACAAAAAAAATGTTCTTGATTAAAAAACCCAACTAACTATCCTCTAACTATTCTATTCCACTTATCCTTATTCAGTTTCACCGTGGGCAGAAGCCTATCCTACCTACAATAGGGCGAGAGGCGGGGTACACACTGGTCAGGTCGCCAGTCTGACCCAGTTCTAACACAGACCCACAACCATTCAAACCTATGGGCAATGTAGAATAACCATTTAACCTAACCCCACTAAGTGCATGTCTTTGGACTGTGAGAGTACCCAGAGAAACCAGACAGACACAGGGACAACTCTGCAAACTCATCACAGAAAGGACCCAGCCAAATAACTCAGACCTTCTTCATTGTGTAGCAGCAGTGCTAACCACCATGCTGCTGTTCTGATTTTTATTTTTTTTAAGAAATCTCTTTATCTGCCTGCTTCATGAGCCTTTTTCTTAATGCATTGGAAACTGAAGTCAGGGCAGCTTCAGTGCAGCTTTTCCTTTTCAAATGTATTCAAATGTAATGTCTTACATGATGATGATCATGATCCAGTCTAAATACATGACTCAGAATTATTTCCATCAGCACACATACTGAATTCACTCTATGTCACTCTTTCGTATGCTTGTTACTCTATTTTGTGTCCTTTGCCCTTATGTGTGTTTTCTTGCCAGTAGGGGTCACTACACACAAACCAATCAGAGCACCAGACCACAGTAGAGCAGAAACTTGGTGCACATCAGAGCTCCGACTGCTGGCTGTAAACTGCGCTCAGTCAGTGTGACAAGTCAGTGCACACCAGAGTTCTGCTAAAATGTCTTTCCATAGACTCATGAAGACTGCAGCAGGGGGATAGGCTTGACAAATGTCCTAGCAGACCAGCACACATTACTCGTCACAGGAGTGAAACTTAAGAAGTTCCTTCAAGTGGACGTGCAGATTTATGCTCCTTTTCCAGGAGGTTTTATCTGACATTGCATGTTAGGACATAATTTTGGCCTTAAAAACCACAAAAATTGTATCTGCATTTCAATCACTTCTACATGCATTTAAAATGCAATCACAATTCCTGTCATTGATGTGGTCACACGAACGCGTGAGAGGCCACTGGAAAGCTCCTAATGCCTGAACCAAAGCTGAAAATCCTTTTCTGCTTTCCTTTTCTACAGGATGTTTGAGCTCACATGTTCTCTCCCACTGGAAAAGGACCTTCGCGTGATGCTGTACGACCACGACATGCTCACCAAAGACGAGAAGATCGGCGAGACGGTGATTGACCTGGAGAACCGCTTCCTGTCCAAATATGGAGCCATGTGTGGCCTGCCACAGTCATATCATATGTGAGGAGACATTTTTTTCTGTTTATTAAGCTTAAACTGAATTTCAATTAAACTGATAAAATTAGACTCTGAACTGTTCCAGACGTCACCCAACAGAAATGGATGTGAGAACAAAACCTTTTTTTGTGACAATGATTATAGACAGATATAACAAAATAAACAAAACTTTATTTATATTATTTTTTTGTCTCTCACCTGTTAGATCTGGAGTAAACCAGTGGCGAGACCAGCTGACACCCACCCAGCTGCTATACAGATTCTGTGAGAGAAGAAATCTGCAGAAGCCAGTCTATGAAGACGAAGCAGTCCGCTTCAAAGGAGAACGATACATTGCTGCCGACCTCGGTGAGTGACCATTCCTCACAATTCAACTGAAGTATATAAACACGTGCAATAATAAATCTATACAGTTCGTTATATTGATACATTTATTGTATATAGATATGAAATACTTGAGCTGTACATTGATCAGGCATAAAGTTTAGAGCACTGTCACTGAATCAGAGCATCTCCAAACCTCCCACTATTATGGGATGTTGCCGGTCTGCAGTGGTCAGTTTCTATTAGAAGTGGTCCAAGGAAGGAACGGTGGTGGACCAGCAAAAGGGTCATGGTGGCCAAAGCTCACTGATGCACATGGGCAGCAAAGACCGGCCCGTGTGGTCTGATCCAACAGACGAGCTGCTGTAGCTCAAACTGCTAAAAATGTCGATGCTTGTTGTGATAGAAAGGTGTCAGAATACAGAGAGAGTCACAGTTTGTTGTGTTTGTGGCTACATAGCTGCAGGCCAGTGAGAGTGCTCATGCTGACTCCTGTCCACCACCGAAAGCACCAACAGTGAATCAGAACGGGACCACAGAACAATGGAAGATGGTGGCCTAGTCTGATGAATCATGTTTTCCGGGTTTGCGCGTTGCTCACTTGGGGAACACCTGGCACCAGGATGCACACAAGCCCACAGGGATAATGTGATGCTCT